GTAGTGCCTGCTATTCAAATGGCACTAATTTGGCTCCAAATTCAATTACTGATTCTCTATTCCACACATGAACATGGTCTCAAATTCTAACACAAACCAAGAGTTTCAAACCCAAAAGGGGTCAGTTCTGTTCCTCTAACTGCCTGAGCTTATTTTCTAAAATAGGTTTTTCAGGTTCAATGTTCCCCAGAAGCCTAAAGGGCAGCATGAAGATGGGGAATTAGATGACTTGCAGTGATGTCTTGGCTTCATTACACATTCAACCAGCTGCCTTTCAGACAGTCAGATTTAGAGGCATTTGTTCCCTCAGCCATAAAATGGGAAGAACTGTTTGCTTTATTTCCAAGATAGTGTAATAAGCACAAACAACTTACATATCTGAGGAAAGAGTTTAATACTAAACCAGACATAGGTGTCCAGAGCTACCCTTCTCCTATCACGATAAATCATAAAAGCCTACCTTGTCTCCTTCCTCTTCCTATTTGCTCTCACCTCTTTATTCCCACTGAGTTCCTAATCAGATGGACTTTGAATACGGGTCAAGTTAGAATGGAAAGGAAAGGTACCAAAAGCACCATTATACAGTAAAGTACTATTCAGTGCATGTGGTGGTTAATTTTATGTATCAACTTGACTAGACCCTGGGGTACCCAGATATTTGATCAAAGGTTATTCTGGGTGTTTCCGTGACGGTGTTTTCGGATGAAATTAACACTTAAGTCAGTAGTCTGAGTAAAGCAGATTGCTCTCCCCAGTGTGGGTGGGTCTCATCCAATCAGTTGAAGGCCTAAATAGAAGAAAAGGTTGACTTTCTGCTGAGTAAGCAAGAATTCTCCAGCCTGATGGCTTTCGAACTGAAGTATCAGCCTGCCAACTGTGGGACTTTAACGGGGATGTTAGGACTTGCAGATTTTTTGATCTGTTAGCCTCCATAACTGCATAAGCCATTGAAATAGTAAATCCCTTTACATATATATTTTCCTATTAGTCTCTTTCCCTGATATAGAGCAATACTATTATTATACTGAAACTCTGCAGATAAAATTTGAGAGAATTCAGATTATGCTTGAAAGCCAAAGAGAAGGTGGGGTTTTTCTAATAACAATGAAAGTCATAGGTGGATATGCTCGTATTTTTAAGTCTTTGGTTTTATGGCAGAACTAAAAAGACGCGTATAGTTCTTTAGAACACATCTCTTCCTAGTGCAGCAGTTCTCAACCTGTGGGTCGAGACCCCTTTGGGGGTTGAACCACCCTTTCACAGGGGTCACCTAAGACCATTGGATAACACATATATAATTACATATTGTTTTTGTGATTAATCACTAGGCTTTAATTATGTTCAATTTGTAACAATGAAAATACATCCTGCATATCAGATATTTACATTAGGATTCATAACAGTAGCAAAATTACAGTTATGAAGTAGTAACGAAAATAATTTTATGGTTGGGGGTCACCACAACATGAGGAACTGTATTAAAGGGTCGCGGCATTAGGAAGGTTGAGAACCACTGTCCTAGTGGTTTCCTACCTAATCCAACTTGCATCTTGGGGGGTTGTTTGGCTGTAATAAATGAGTCACTTATACAGCTGAGGACTCTTCACACATAGTGGACCAAAACGGGTGGAGGGGAAACTTCCTTGGGCAATCTGGTCAATGGAGTTTATAGAATACCGTGGAGATTTTTACATCTTTTAACCGTGGCCTTAGATCATGTCAAAAGCAGGCCACACTGCCTACGGAAGGACAACGAAGGGCAGGAAAGCCTCATGGAAGATGGGGCATTGTCTTGAGGACAGAAGACAGACCACATAAAGAAGAGTTAAATCTGGAAATAATGAGGAACCCAAACATACTTTGGCAATAGCTACGGAAAGGGAATTAGGGAAATCTCTTGGAGTAACTTTGGCTGACTAGTAGAAACAAAAGAGCAGACCTCACTTACCGCTGAGGGGCCTTGCTTGGCCTGTGGTCTCTTTCTCTCTGCTTGTGTGGTCACTTAGCTATCTTGCCCAGAGTAGAAAGCCTGGCAGGGCACAATCCCACAGCCCAGTTTTCAGCCCTTCCTTGCGTCTCTTAGAACATACTGCAGGGAATGCTTGTTTTCTTTTGGGCCACAGACCAGCTGTGGTTGGAGGGACATCTTGTCTCAAATACGGAAACTTCTCTAGGGAAGGGCTACAACGGTATCCACGTTCCAAACAATTGTACCTGAGAGGTGGCATCCAAATGATAAGATCTAATAATTTTAATATAATCATATTTCAAGTCCTGTAAATATTTTCTTCTTCCTTAATTGTTTTCCCTTTTCTTTATCGATACGGACATAGAGAGAAATTAGTTGTATTTCAATTTCTTCTTTAATTAGTTTCAGGCCTATAATTTTCACCAATTAGGAGAGAAAATCCATAAGGGCTGGCAGGCCAGCTTCTAGCAATGCTTGAAAGGCAGGTAGATTTTGAGTCAGCAAATGGGAAAAGAAAGGATATTCTATTTTTTAAAATGGTCACATTTCCGAGCTGCATTTGGGATGTTATATCAAGTACTGAATTGGTATTAGGCGACTGGTACCAATAAATTAACAGATAAACAGAAAAACATTTACCTTCGTTTTTAAAGGTTTTTAAAAAATAAAGTCTCTACTTCCACAATACTCTTGATTAATCAGCATAGAATAACTTTTTGTTTTGTTTTGTTAATCCTTACTGGAGGATTATCGGAGGATATTTTCCCATTGATTTTTAGAGAGAGTGGAAGGGAGAGGGAGAGACAGAGAGAAACATCGATGTGAGAGACACATTGATTGGTTGCCTCCCGCACATGTACATGCCCTTGACCAGAATCGAACCTGGGCCAAATCCGCAGGCCAATGCTCTATCCATTGAACCAAACCAGCTAGGGTGAGATAGACTAACATTTTAACAAACTCACATTAAAGGCCAATAACTATCATGAAATCAAGACTTATTTCCCATTTATTTGATATTGCTGGGGTTGAAACCAGTGCCTACAAATCAATGTTCTTCTCAAATAAAAAGAATTTGTTAACCCACTATTACCTTCAGAATCATTGTAATAAAAACCCTACCTGAAAAGGGTGATAGAAAAGAGATCTTCAAGGTCTCCAAACATTGTGCAAAAGTTATAATTGGTATTAAAAACAAACAGACTGAGGTCTGTCAGTCTGTTCCATGCCTCTGGATCTATTTTGTTGGTCAGTTTATTTTGTTCATTCGATTCCACCTATAAGTTACATCTGACCAGTCAGACTTGGGAACCACTGACTTAGGATACATTTAGACAAGTATCTCTCAAAGAACTGTGGGCCCCTGGGTTCACTAAGAATATTCATAATTCTGGGTAGGTTATAAATCACTATCCTGCGAGAATTTAACAAATTATACTGCTTAGAAGTGATTTGATACTAAAAACTCTCCCTGATTTAGCACTTAAATTAGCTAATGATTTCCTGTCTGTCTACTCCCACTCCCAGGCAAAGGTCTGTACATAATATTTAGTTCCTGTGGCTGTTAAGTGCTAGCCACTCAGATTGCTCATAAGCAAGTTGCTCACAGGGTTTTGTTCTATTAACCTCTCCCTCTTCTTCCATTCAGATTCCCAGAGCTTCGAGGAACAGACAACTGGGCACCACATGAAGCATTATGCATCAAGACATCAACCCAGAAACCCGCAGACACTGCAAACCCTTCCCTTACCCTACTGGAAGGGAGACAATTAGACCACACCCTAATGTGAGAAGTAATTTCTTTTCAGAAAGAAATGTTGGCATCACACAAGATAGATAATTTGAAAGCTTGACCTTTTTTTTTTTTTTTAGAGGAAGGAGGAGAGAGAGGGAGAGAGAGAAGCGTCTATATGGGAGACATATCACATCAATTGGTTGCCTCCTGCTTCTTCCTGAGCAGGAACTGAACTCACAACCTAGGCATGTGCCCTGACCTGGAATTGAACCTGCGACCTTTCCATGCAGGAGATGATGTTCTAACCAACTGAGCCACACTGGTCAGGGCAAGCTTGATTGTTCTTGAAGCCAAGACAAGAGAAAGCTAATTATGACTTTAGAAGCTTCAAAAATACAGTGACTTTTGGGTCACCCCCAGTAGCCCCAAACCCAAAGATATCAAGCCCCACTCTTACTGTATCTCTGAATCAGATCTTTAAAAGTACATATGTCTCCCCCCGCCATTGACCTCCCCTACCCCCCAGTACTTGCCCTCACCCCCCGCCCCCCAATGTCTTGCGTCTATTGGTTGTGCTTATATGCATGCATACAAGTCCTTCAGTTGATCTCTTACCGCCCCCCGCAACCCTCCCCTACCTTCCCCCTATAGTTTGACAGTCTGTTCGATGCTTCTTTGCCTCTATTTTTGTTCAACAGTTTCTAATGCTCTTTATATTCCATAAATGAGATCATGTGGTATTTATCTTTCACTGACTGGCTTATTTCACTTAGCATAATGCTCTCCAGTTCTATCTATGCTGTTACAAATGGTAAGAATTCCTTCTTTTTTACAGCAGCGTAGTATTCCATTGTGTAGATGTACCACAGTTTTCTAATCCATTCATCTGCCGATGGGCACTTAGGCTGTTTCCAAATCTTAGCTATGGTGAATTGTGCTGCTATGAACATAGGGGTGCATATATCCTTTCTGATTGGTGTTTCTGTTTTCTTGGGGTACATTCCTAGAAGTGGTACTGGGTCAAATGGCAGTTCCATTTTTAGTTTTTTGAGGAAACGCCATCCTGTCTTCCATAGTGGCTGCACCAGTCTGCGTTCCCACCAGCAGGAGGAGGGTTCCTTTTTCTCCACATCCTCTCCAGCTCTTGTCGTTTGTTGATTTGTTGATGACAGCCATTCTGACAGGTGTGAGATGGCTTTGATTTGCATCTCTCAGATGACTAGTCCTGAGCATGTTTTCGTATGTCCAGACACTGATTTCTAATCCTACCCACAAAATCCCAGATCACAAATTGAATGATGAGATGATTTTTCTTATACAGAAGGCACTAACTGTACAGATGATGTATTGTAGAACTGTACACATGATACCTATATAATTTTGATAACCAGTGTCACCCCAATAAATTCAATATAAAGGGGAAGAATGGGAAGGCACTAACTGGACCACATGAGTCAGCAGCAAGTGGGAACCAAATTTCAGGAGATGCAGAAATGCACATGGGTCCCAGGTGTCTTTTCTTAGTGATGATGGCCCTCCTTACTGGACAGTCAGCAGGAGACAGTTCAAATGTACTTAATAAAACTGCTGGGTGGGCAACCAAAGGGAAGGAATTAGAACCCGGAGGGAAAACAGGCATAACACGACTAGCAGCAGCCCCAAGTATAGGAAGGCTTGGCTTGTAGGTTGATGTAGTCCCCTTGGGTGGACAAAAACGTATCTTCTTTGGAATTGCTCATCATCTTTTCAACGAGGACTCTAAAAAACAAATAAAAAATAAGCCTGAAAAGCTGAACTGAGGAAAGGGAGAAACAGCAGACATTGTCTGTCTTAACGCCAGATGGCGTTCAATAAAGCCACCAGGTTTGTCCCCAGTTATCTCAGGAGAGAGGACAGCATCTCTGACCTTCAGAAGCTGGCATTCAAGTGGCCCAGTCTGTTCTTATTTGCTCAGAAACAAGAAAAAAGGTACAATGGGCTGCAGTGGAAGATGGGTACATCTATTAAATCTATTTAATTTTTGCCTTAACTGATTTGGCTCAGTGGATAGAGCATCAGCCTGCGGACAAAAGGTCCCAGGTTCGATTCCGGTGAAGGGCATGTACCTTGGTTGTGGGCACATCCCCAGTAGGAGGTGTGCAGGAGACAGCTGATCGATGTTTCTCTCTCATCAATGTTTCTAACTCTCTATCCCTCTCCCTTCCTCTCTGTAAAAAAACCAATAAAATATATTTAAAAAAAAATAAACCTATTTAATTAAAAAAAATCTATTTAATTTTATCAGAAATCTGTGCAGAGTGCATAGATTAAATAAACAAGAGCTACATGTTTCTTGTTGGCCATCCACCCGGTATTTGTGATTGATACCATAACATAGTAAATTTAATGTCGTTTATTTGTCTGAAAAGGAAGAGCTTATCTTTTGTTTGGAACACAGAAGCAAGCTGAGTCCTGATGTGTGTTATTTCAGTGTCTAGTTGATTTGTACTTGAGGTTTCTGGAACAAAACTTCGTTTCTAAGTACCTGCCAGAATCGCACTGTGAGGTTTAGTGATCGAAAGATGGAGTAAGATCTCCAGTTTGGTATTTCAGAAGATTAACCCAGAGTTACTTTTGCTGTCAAGAAACAGAATTCTGTTCAAGAAACATTTATTAAAAAAAGAAGGTATAATGAGCTACAGTAGAAGATAGGTACGTCTGTGTGCCCATAAGCTACTCACCTCATGGCCTCATTAACATTTTTGTTCTCCTTGACGGATGTTTCTGTCCAACCCGTGAAACCGTTCTCCTTACTGAAACGGTCAACCTGGTCTCGGCTCACTGCCCAAGGGGACAGATCACACTGGCAAAGAGAATAAATAAAAGGCAACACCATAAACTTCCTGGGATTAGGGACACAGCTCAGATACCTGTGGGTTTAAAACCTTTCCACCAATGGCGAAGAACAGCAGCATCTAAAATCTACATTCAACGTTCTTCCCCGAGAAAGTCTCAATATCCCTTGAAAGGAGGTAGAGATGATTTTGCCAATTTGAGAAGGAAAAGTGGATCACAAGAATGGAAGAGCATTTTATTTTTTAAAATATATTTTATTGATTTTTTTTTTTTATAGAGAGGAAGGGAGAGGTAGAGGGATAGAGAGTTAGAAACACTGATGAGAGAGAAACATCGATCAGCTGCCTCCTGCACACTCCCTACTGGGGATGTGCCCGCAACCAAGGTACATGCCCTTGACCAGAATCAAACCTGGGGCCCTTCAGTCCACAGGCCAATGCTCTTTCCACTGAGCCAAACCAGCCAGGGATTATTTTATTTAAAAAAAAAACACATTTTTATTGATTTCAAAGTTGAAGGGAGGGGGAGAGAGAGACAGAAACATCAATGATGAGAATGATTGATTGGCTGCCTCCTGCATGCCCCTACTGGGGACCGAGCCCACAATCCCGGCATGTGCCCTTGACAGGAATCGAACCCGGGACCCTTCAGTCTACAGGCCGATGCTCTATCCACTGAGCCAAACCAGCTGGGGCTGGAGCATTTTAGATAGCTTGCCCTCTCACCACCGATTGAGCCCAGGAACCATTTTCCTAGATTGACCATGTACCTTATTGGCCAAGAGCAGGCAGGGCACAGGCTCTCCATTGGGCAGTGTGAGCTTGCTGTCCAGGTCCTGTTTCCATCTCTGGCTGTTGCTGAAGGTAGTGGCGTTGGTAACATCAAACATAATAACACAGGCAGAGGCATCTCGATAGTACAGTCGTGTCATAGATGTGAAGCGCTCCTGCCCTGGGAGGAGAGGAGAGGCCCCTAGGAGGTGATCCTGAGAACCAGTCCCAGAAGCCCCTCTTACATCCTGTCCTTTCTGCCTTCGTTGTGGGAGAGAAGGCAGTAGGCATGGTGGTTGAGTCCAGATTCTGTACCCAGACCGCCCAAGTGCAAATCCCTGCTCTGTCATTTATTATCTATGTGACTTTGGACAAGTCAAGCTTTCAAGGCTAAGTATTTCCCATCTGAAAAGTGGGGACAGAAGCAGAGCAGTAGCTTTATCATAGGGTCATTGCCAGGATTCATGAGTCAGTGAATAAAAAAATGTTTAGGAAAGTGCTTGGCACATAACAAGGGTTAGCTATCATTATTGTCTCTGTTTTTCGAGCATCTTGTTTCTCACCAAGATCAGCTGGAACGAGCACCCTCCCCCTGCTGTGGGAGCATCCACCTGTGGCCTGGACCATCTACCGCCTTGCCAGCCCCTCCCCACAGAGACTGCTTGACATTTACCGGGCAAGACATCGGCAGAAACGTCTACAAAAGTCCTGTGTCTATTCAGCTCGTGCACCCTCCGCGCAGCTCCATCGTCCCAGCTTCGGGAACACACACTCCTGGTTTTCCTGCCCCCCTTTTTCTCTGGGAGCTGGCTGGTTACCCCAAAACTTCTCCCTTTGTTCCTATTCAGTCTTCCCAGCCTACCTGCAATGTCCCACAGCTGCAGCCTCACCATCTCGGAGTCAGACCACTGGAGAACCTTCAGCGCGAAATCCACTGAAAATATACGTGTAATGTAGTTGAATAAAATGTACCTTTAAACAATCCACAGAAAACCTCAGATCAAATCTGCAGTTTCAACACTAGGGAGACACAACTCCTATTTATTTATTTACTTATTCATTCATTCAATTTTTAAGCCCTCAGTGAGCTGAGATGAGCCCACACTCAGGTATTACGTATGGAACAGCTCATGCATACTCAGTCTCAGTCTTTAGCTTTTACTCTCTTGTCCAACCAATTCATTTGATACTATTTGTCTCCAAGGCTGGAACTAGGAGGGTGGGAGTCATTATGAAAACAATTACTAATCTCAGGTTAAACAGTTTCTGGGAGACTTAGGGAGTTTTCTCAGAGAAGGGAGGATAGAGGGCAAAGGGGAAATGAAGTAAGTGTGGTGGCTTTTGCCTCTTTCACATTCAATTTCACTCTTGGCTCCTCATCCAATCGTATTATGATACAAACACACTCTGGGGAATTCTCCATCTTCCTAAGGCTGTAGGGATTATCTTGGGCAGGAATGGGATAGAGTGATAAGGTCCCAGAGGATTCCTAGAAAGAAGACAATGAGTAGCCCCGACAGTGTGGCTCAGTGGTTGAGCATCCACCCATGAACCAGGAGGTCAGGGTTAGATTCCCCCTTAAGGCACATGCCTTGGTTGCTAGCTTGATCCCCAGTAGGGGGCGTGCAGGAGGCAGCTGATCAATGATTCTCATTGCAACCATATTCTTTCTAGTAATCTTCTGGGACCTTGTCACTCTATCTCATTCCTGCCCAAGATAATTTCTAATTCTGTCTCATCACTGATGTTTCTATCCCTCTCCTCCTCTCTCTGAAATCAATAAAAACATATTTAAATGCTTGTTAACGTTTTAAAATTCCATAATGAATACCAGCACACATTTTCAAAATTTACATTGGTGTAAATTTTTTTTCCTTTAAAAAACGTGTTTTTTTCTTCCACCGCCCCTCCCCTCCCCTCCACCCCAACCTCCCCATCTCGGAACCCTCTCCAGCCCAAGATCCAGGTCCCCAAACCACTTGAGAGAAAATTCACACCCTTCAATCCCTTCCCAGGCGTCTCTCGAGGAGGCACTGGGTGGAGTGTGAGTAGGGAAGGGGCAGGGTTTCCCCAGGTTCCCTTCGCACCCCCCACCCCCAGATGTGCAGGGGGAGGGGAGCGTGGGTGGGTGGGATAGGGCGTGTGGGGGAGGGGATGAGGGCGCCCAGCGGGAGAAGCAGGAGGAGGGGTGTGTGTCAAAAACGTGTGTAGTTTTTTTAAAATGGAGATAAATAAATGTCTGTTACTCTCCACTTCACCAGCTCTGCCCAGCTAAGCACTTTCTATTTAACAAAAAGGCATTTCTACTCCTGAAAAACCAGTCCAAAGATCACACCTAGAAAGAAATGAATTAACTCTTAAGGTGTTCTCTTCCTTCCTCCATAACCCAGGTTGAGAGAAAAAGGGGTGGGAAAATAGGCCAAGAAGTGGTATATTTTAGATCCTTGAAGAATTCCTAAGTTGCCTTTCTTTTTAAATATATTTTATTGATTTTTTACAGAGAGGAAGGGAGAGGGATAGAGAGTTAGAAACATCAATGATCAGCTGCCTCCTGCACACCCCCCACTGGGGATGTGCCCACAACCAAGGTACATGCCCTTGACCAGAATCGAACCTGGACCTTTCAGTCTGCAGGCCAGGGCTCTATCCACTGAGCCAAACCAGTTAGGGCTAGGTTACCTTTCTTTAAGCAATCAATGGACAACAAACACATAGCTCATCTGCCCGGATAAGCGTCTGATTGCGTGGCCTCCGGACTCTCCCCCGCAGGCATCCCGCAAACAAAGCTAGGCCGGGGTCAATGCCTTTCTGCTCCTGCAATAGCTGCCTCGACCGCCCGTGAGAGGCAGGACCCCTCACAGGCCCTGCGCGGGGTCTCAGCTGCCTCTGCTGGGCTTGGAGACCTGCCCCTGACCGCTTGGCCGGCTGCCCGCAGCAAGAGACCTGAGCACAGAGTTCCCTCGCAGATGCAGCAATTGCTCCTTTTCTCCCCTCCCCTCCCCACGTCTCATCTTCACACCTTCGCCCCATTTCTTTCCAGGCAGTCAGCTCAGGTCAGGAAAATCTGACGGGGGAACCCCGAACAGGCATGCCAATCAAACACCCAGCAGTTAGTCCCTCTAGCAGTGGTTCTCAACCTTCTGGCCCTTTAAATACAGTTCCTCATGTTGTGACCCAACCATCAAATTATTTTCGTTGCTACTTCATAACTGCAATGTTGCTACTGTTATGAATCGTAATTAAATATCTGATATGCAGGAGGGTCTTAGGCGACCCCTGTGAAAGGGTCGCGCGACCCACAGGTTGAGAACCGCTGCAGGATCCCAGACACCTACTTCCTGACCCGAAGAAAGACCCAACGACACGAGATCCCCAGCTCCCACCCCGCTGGAGGCCCCAGCGGGAGCCCGCGGTCCCGGCCCCGGTCCAGCCCGGCCCGCCCCCCTGGACGGCTCACCTCCCACCGTGGACTTGTAGTGTTTGCTGAAGCTGTCCTGGGAGTACCTCTGCACCAGGGACGTCTTGCCCACCGCGGCGTCCCCCACCACCAGCACTTTGAACAGGTGATCGCGGCTGCCCATGGCGAGCGCGGTGGACGTTTCAGGGAGGCGGGAAGCCGGAGGAACCGCTGGTTTTAACCTCTGTGGCTCCCGACCCCCTTCGAACTGAGGTTCGGCATTCCGCCCACCGCCTGTTGGGGCTGCACTGACGAGAAAGAAAAAAGGGAAACTACACTCAACCTTTGCGCGCTTCCTCCGCGCGCGGCCGCAGCTTGGGTGGAGCGCGGGGCGCCGGGCGCTGGGCGCGACCTCCGAGCCCCGGGCTGATCGCACCTTCTCCCCCTGCCCGCCCCGCTGCAGAGAAACGGGATGAAGCTGGGCGGTGCCGCACCCGCCCGGACTTCCCCAGAGCGGCTCCAGTGAGTGACTAAACCGGGCCAGCTCACTTCCCGGGTTGGACCAGCAGATGGGCGCCCTCCCTCCACTGAACAACCAAACTCTGCGGAAGGAGCGGCTCACACTTCTGCTCCCCGGACTCAGCAGGCGCGGTTCCTCGGGTCTACTCCGCACGCGTCACGTGCTGGTTGTCTGGAGAACTACATTTCCCAGCTTCTCTCGCGGGGAAAATAATAGTGGAGTGAGGAGACACGCCCGCGAGGCCTCCTGGGAAGTGTAGTTTACGCAGTATTGGTTTTTTAAAAACTTAACACAAGTTTCAAGGCTGGCGAACTCCTTCAACTTTCGGAATGCTATTTAAAAAGTCATTCTGGAATAGAAAAGATTCTTAAGAGGGATTTGTTCGACGTGATCTCATCTTCCTGAATCAGTCCTCAGGTTCCTCACTATCTTGAAAGGTTTTATGCAGCAAAGATTACAAATTATTCCATAGACTTCATAAAATTTTCCACTAATAAAAGCTCAAGTGAAATCCATTTCCTGTTCTTTCACTTAGGTAGACAAACCCAGAATCTTGTGAACATGATAAAAGCCAACTCCTACATTTCTCTCTGGATCCCAATATCATATCATTCAAGTTCAGGGACACTTGATCAAGAGACTGACCCTTACAAAAACCCATGCTGTTAGTGTAAGTTATTAACATTTAATTAGTCAGAACAGTAAAGATAGATAGAAACCAAGAGGCAGTTCGTCATTCTCACTTCCACAATCCCTAGTCTAGCTACACTACTCCTATAACTTTTGAGCTGGAAGCTAATTGGAGTACACTGCGAATCCTCCTTTTGTTGCCTCTGTTGCTCAGGAATAATAATTAAACTAAAGTTTTGCAAACAATTTTAGTTTTTCAATCTGTAACTTTTTTGGTAAGAGTTAAGGGGATAATGAGTTTCATGACAAGCAAAATAAGCCCCTTTCCTATGCTTTTCTCAGGAATGTTAGAGAAAGCAGCAGGGCCATGGGAAAACAGGCCTGCCAGGTTTCCTGACAGGGAGGCCACCATTTACGTTCTATGAAGAAGGAACATCAGTGTAGTTCACAACTTATTTAGCCCCAAATGTTTGTTACCTAGGTAGGGGAGGTCAGGCTGGGCTACTCATATTCCAGGACATCTCAGACCTCTTAAATGGTCTTTTCTCAATTCTCATTGGCTTTTCCATAGTTGACCCATTTCTTTTCTTTGTTTTTATTTGAATATGTTTTTTAAAAGTATGTTTTTATTGAAACATAGTTGAGAGGAAGGAAGAGGGAGAGAGACAGAAACATCAATGATGAGAGAGAATCATCACCAGCTGCCTCTTGCACACCTCCTTGGGATAAAGCCTGAAACCTGGGCATGTGCCTTGACCTGAATCGAACCATGACCTCCTGGTTCATCATCGATGCTCAACCACTGAGCCACACTGGCTGGGTGCCCACTCTCTTAAATTTGTTTCTCACATGGCTTTGTGACAGTTCTTTCTCATTTACCCTCTATTTTTCTGATCATCTTTTTTTCCTTCATGGTTTCTTCTCATCCCATTGTTGTAATGTACCCCGTGAATCACAGAAGGACACCTCAAGAAGTCGAATTAAAGAGTCACATTTATTGCAATCCGGGACTATGAGGGGCCATTCCCCAAATCTCATAGCAACAAGATGGTCGCAGCTCCAAGGTTATATAGCCAAAAAATCACAAAGGTATTGATTACATCCCAGGGTTTGGAATGAGAAACCTGGTTCAAAAAAAAGCAGTTTACAGAAGCAGAATTAAGCATGTAATCTAAATTACAGTTTTGGGTCTAGAGCCCTTGGGTAACCTGGGTTAAACTTAGGCATGTTATCTAAATTACAGTTTTGGGTCTGGAGCCCTCTGACCTTGGGATAACTGTGCTGTCCTTCCCAGGTAAAGGAAAATGTGCTTTCTAAGACCAGTATGACCACAACCCATGGGATATTCACATTACAATCAATAAGGCATTTAATCGAATGGGATGATTTATACAATTCAGAAAATCAAAGTAACTTTTCTATTGTTAAGCCAAACAACAGGATTAGTATTAAACTACAGTTTCTACCTGAGATGGTTGTTACCATACTTCACCATCACCCCCTAAATATGTATTCCTTAGGCTCAATTCTATGTCCCTGAGCTGATGGTCCTTTAAACTCTTTATTTAGTAAGTTGCAGTTGGCCTCAAACATCTCTCGGAGTCTTGACTTTATATCTTTATTGCCAATCAATGATGTTCAACTACCATAAAGATACATCCACTTAGAAGTCCTCCCTCTCACTACATCACCACAAAAACAGCTCCTTTTCTCAGCTTCCCTATTTCTGTTCTCCTTGTTTCTTTCCTCTACTCAGACTTCAGACCTCAAACATTTTTAAAAAATTATTTTATTGTAGGAGACACTTAACATAAGATCCACATTCTTAACAAAATTTAAAGTGTGCAATATAAATACAGAAAGATGCAAATTTTAAAATGTGCAATATGAGTACAATGTTGTACAACAGTTCTCCAGACTTGATTCATCTTGCTTAACTGAAGCTTATGCCTCTTGATGAGGAACTCTATTTCTCCCTCCCCCAGCTCTTAACAACCACTGTTCCACTCTTTGATTCTATAAATTTGACTATTTTATTATTTTATTTGTTTCAAATGTGGACGAAAGGAGCCACATGCTAATCTGACAAGCTTAGGGAAGGCCTGCATGGCAGTCTTGCAAACTGAAAGACCTAAAGTAACCACAAAGGATGGTCTGAAATTAAACTTTAACTAAAAGCAGTTATGGTGGGTGGTCACCTCCTAGGCTGGTATCTTCACTGACAAGGTCAGCCTTTACCTTCACTGAGCCTATCTGTCTTTTTGCATCTATAATAATATACCCTTGAAATGTCTGGGTAACTTGTAACTTCCCTTTTTCCAAACCCCTTGGGGCATAACCTAATGTGCCTGGGTGCCAGGACAGATACCACAAATTCCTTCATTGTTATTGTTATCATGTTAATTGTTGACTGTTATGTGTCTATCATGGGTACCAGGACAGATACCACAAATTCCTTCATTGTTATTGTTATCATGTTAATTGTTGACTGTTATGTGTCTATCATTTTACTCTTCACCCTCCTTTTTTAAAAAATATTTTTTTATTGCTTTCAGAGAGGAAGAGAGAGGAAGAGAGATAGAAACATCAATAATGAGAGAATCATCGATTGGTTGTCTCCTGCACGCCTCACACTGGGGATCCAGCCCGCAACACGGGCATGTGCCCTGACCGGGAATTGAACCGTGACCTCCTAGTTCATAGGTCGATATTCAAACACTGAACCACGTCGGCCAGGCAACGCCCCCTCCTTTGATTGCAATGTATAAAAATAGATGAAAAACCACCACTCTCTGGAGCATTATCCCAATCCGTTGAGATTCTGCTTCCCGGCAATTGTCCACTGTTTGGCTCAGACAAACTCACAAAAATTCTTTACAGGTTTGAATGTTTTATGTTAACACAAATGATTAGAGAAAGTTTATTTAGAAAGTTACAGAGATAGTAAAAGTGAGCCATAGAAGAAATGGGCTAAGAGAACAAGTTACAGAGGCACCGAAGGGCCTTTGGAGCTTAGGAGCGAGGCAAAGGTGACTCACCTGGGGGAGATCAAAGGGGGCAGGGAAATGTAACCAGGCAATCAATGGGTCCGGGCTGCCTGTCACTACTTGAGCCAATTCAGCAGAGACAGCGTTGAATCATATGGGAGCCTTTATTCCAATATTGCCGGCAGCACGGGAGAGCAGCCGGTCATCCACAGAAATCTGCTCTGCAGCCCCCCATAAGCCAGCTGCTTATATAGAGTGGGACAAAGATTATGTGGGGAAGTAGGGATGACAGGCCTGGGGAGGTAGGAGGCCGAGGTGGGACTCCGTTATTTGGGCAACAAGGTTGTTCATCTTTCCATGATAATAGGCAGTTCTTAAATGAGAATGGTTCCAAGGTTGAGTCAGTCCCAGGTCCAAGGTTGACTCCCAGGTCCTGGGGGCATACAACTCCCAGCCAGGTCAGAATGTCCTTTCTTTAAGCAACACAAGGCATCATGGTTAACTGAGCATGATTAATATTTCCCATAACCATAGCTAGCCCCCCCATATTCTATTTTTGCCCCTAACAGAAAGGCACCCGACTGCTACCGAGAGGGTAGCGCTTGAGGGTCGGATTAATTTTTTTTAAATCCTCACCCGAGGATATTTTTCCCATTGATTTTTAGAGAGGAGAGTGGGAGGGAGGGCTGAATGGGGGAGGGAGAGAGAGAGAGAGAGAGAGAGAGAGAGAGAGAGAGAGAGAGACATGATGTGAGAGAGACACATCGATTGGTTGCCTCCCTAACATGCCTGACCGGGCCTGAGGGTTGAACCCACAACCCATATACGTGCTGCTTGTGATGCCTACAGTATGAATTCAATAAATACTTTCTGAAGGAGTGACCCAGCACCAGCAGTCTTTGAAGGACTTGGGAGCTTGACTCCAAATAGAAGAGACAGAGCATCTATCATCTGCAGAGGGTCCACCCCTGTCTGCTAACTGAGCAGAAAATGCTTTGTAGCGTGAAACGAGACTGAAGTGACACAGGAAGTGGCCTGGCAGCCTGGAGAAGGATGAACCCAGCGAAGGGGGAGGCCATGGGCTCCAGCTGTCTCTCGGCCCCAAACTCCAGGCTCATTTAAATAATCTCAACTTTCTGGTGATTGTTTCGGGCTCAGGAGACCGTGTGGTGAGAAGCTTGTGACCCAGCTAAGCATTCAGCTGGAAGGCTCGGCCGCTCGGCCGCGAGGAAACGCTCCAGAGACAGAGAGAGGCTGGCAGGCTCGTGCCCAAGAGTCAGGGACTAGCTCTGAGCCTGGGACCATCTGCAGCCAGAGTTCGGGGTGGGGAACATCCCGCCCACGGTGTAAGGACCCCAAAATCATTTGGTCGGCCCTGCCAAGGCAGTGGGGGTGAATTAGTTAAATGTTTGACCAAGTATAGGCGGCTAATTGTTCAGTTGATCATTCTGTATGGCCCTTGAATGATGTTATAAATATCCAAATGGTCCTTGGCAGAAAAAAGGTTCCCCACCCCTGATAGGGAAAGCATCAAACTAGTTTTTACTGCTTTTGTTGCCA